GAAAAGACCCGGGGCAGTTAAAGCGTCTCTGGGTGATTTGCAGAGAGCAGCTGAGAATGGCAGTGAACACTCTTGTGCACGCTTGCCTAATCTATATCCTTCTCACAGCCATAGCTGAAGGACTGATGCCCTGCCATGCATATACACATGCCTGAACATTAGTGCATGTGTGGACCTACAGTTCAGGGCTGTAACTGATGGCTAACTCTTCTGCAGCACAGGTAAACAACAAGACCACGCAACAAGTGCTGATAACATCTTAATGCTGCAGACTGGCGTGTTAATGTGCACCAGAACCTGAGACTGATTAGAGATTAAACTGATTATGTTCACAGTATATTGATAGCTCTGTTGTATTCACATTAGATTAGATCAGATTGTTATTTCTACCAATAAAACTGGAATTTGTGCAGCTTGGCCACAGTTCATGCACCGGAGCGCATGCGACTCGTGCATACACATGGCGACAGACTTTTAATGACAGTGATTAGTTTAAGCATGAAGAAACAGATGGAGAAACTCAGTTGATCGAGCGGTAGATAGCAGTAAATGCATTTCCAGAGCATAATAAGTAAGTGATAGAAACCTCCACATAGAAAAGAGTGATGGGTAAGCCACAGACGGAGAGCATCCTTTTATTTTCTGTATCCGGGCATGTAGATGTGCATTATTAAGCTTGGTTAAATGACTTTCAGAGTGTGATATCTTGGTCTATCTATAAGATGTGCATTCAGGTTCTATCATATACACTCTTAACCCTGATATCAATTGTATTTACACTTTTTAGTAATCATTAATTATTATTTTATGTTTTGTAAAAATGTTGTCTCATTACTAAATCAAATAAGTTGACTGTACTTTTTTACTAAAATATAGAGTGTAATGATCTTGTTAAGCAGAGATTACTAAAGATGTTTTGATTTTGAAATGAAGGGGCGGGGCCTATTCAAACTCTGCCCTGCTGCACATGTTCCGGCAAGTTCCACCACAGCGTCGCTACTACTGTCGGACTTTGAGTGAAAGTGGATTGGTAAGTAACAAATATTTTAGATATTTGTAGACATTTCTCTACGTAAAAGATAGCTGTGCTCCACGTGCAGATGTAACTTAACATTACAGTAACAGCCGACCGTTATCGTAGTTTTGGTAAAGTTGAGGGTTTTGGAGTGGTGAGCGCGAATGCTCAATGAATAGTGTGCTAGGATTTAGTTTAGAGCATGCTAACTTTCTCAGTTCACAGTTTATTACGGAAAGTTGCTTTAGGAGAGATGTAGGCTGCTGAAAGCAACCTTTATTGCACAAGTTCATACCGAGTGAATCCTGTCTGTGGTATATTTTTTATCTTTAATGCGCTCCAGTTGTATCAAGTCAGCTAATTTGTATAGTTAGATTAGCTTAACTTCACGTTGCAGCACGTGCTTGTATGTATGTATGTATGTATGTATGTATGTTTTATTTATTCATTTCATTTCATCCAAACAACAAATATAATACAATTTAAAGAAAAGAAAAAGAAGAACGTGCTTGTGTTAGCTAGTTCACGTTCTATACGATTACGGTCTGACTGACAATGTAATGGACTTGGTCATTAGCTGGTTTTTAGTAGAGATTAGTTAAATGAGCAATATGTGACAATTGTGTGTGTAAAATAGTGCAGCAATTAACAAATAATTTGGAGCCACGTTGAAATCCTGAAGGAGTAAAGAGCTATGGTTGTTGCCAGCTCCCCCCATCACCAGACTATTAAAATAAAGTGACAATAACAAGTTATTAACTCTGTCAATTGTCTGCTGATAAAAAGGCAAGCCCAACTCATTCTGCATTAATTTTAACTCTAAATAACGTTAAACAAGAAAACTGAAATTTCTGTTCTCAGCCAGAATAATTAAAGGGCGAGAATATTTCAAAGTACCATATTTCCTTGATCTTTGATGACATATGGTCATGGATAAGTGTGCTAAAAGTTTTATTTTTTTACAGGTTTGTGTGAAGATACAGTGGAGGTGCAAATACTGTGAGTTTATAACAGAGAAAAGGGGTTACCTGTTAAAACATTACAGGTTAAAACATGGAAGCTTCACCAGAAATATTACCTTTCCTTGCTTACATCGCTGTCTTTCCAATAGGAAGCTGCCATTATAGGACCCAAATATATTTGTTACCCATCCAGACTGTCAGCACAAACTGTAATTTTACCTTGTAGGATATGAGAGTTGCTGTCTACAACTACCTCTATCTGTTAGGTAAGGGAAATTGTATTGTGAGCAGGTCATTATTGCAAAATTAACCCCAACAGCCTGATGCAGGACTCAGATTTCAGATTATCCTGAAGGGGTGTATTATGCAGTAATGCCCTGCTCACTGTGCACTATTCTGCTTATTAAAAGGTTACTTGCCAACAAAAATCCATAATTTGACACAAAATATTAATAGTCTTCTATAACAATGGTCTGCTACACAGAAGTAACAGACGTTAGAATGCTGAAATTTACAAATAACAATTGAATAACAAAGCTATTTAATAATATATATTGTTGTGGAAGCCATCAGTGCTTAAATTGTCCAATTGGATTCACAGAGGTCACACAACCACAAACAAGCAAAGCAATAGACAAGCAACTCCTGTGTTGTGCGCAGTACATAGACTTTTTGTCCAAAAAAAAGGTTTGACTAGAAAAATCTTGTTTTTTTTTAGGGGCTTTGCGTTTTGCATCTGACCATGTATACACCTGTGCTTTTTTTTTTTTTTTTTGCTGCCCTCACACTGGTGCTTTCAGCTAAGGTTATTAGTTGTTGAGATGTGATACTGGAACATTCTCTGTATTTTGCAGGTATGCATGGAGTTCAACAGGATTGTTGGCAAGAATCTCAAGCAGGAATTCTATGAGAGCATCGATCGACATAGTCCTCGTCTTGTCGAGATTTTTTGATCCAAGAGAGGGAACGTTGGCCAAGTGTTGACACAGCTTTCCCAACAGACCAGGGTTGGTCCTATTGTTTTCAACAGCTCATGTCTTCAAGTGTAACTATTCATTTTCATGCTTCCCATAGATTATTGAAATGTTAGATTTTAAATCAAAGGTTGGAAAAACAAGGCTGCGAGTTTCTGAACTTCACTAAAACTTTCAGAGAACTTCAGTACAGCCTGCTAGCTCTTCTCAATGTTGTAACAGTACGTTAATTAACCATGATGCATGTGTTCTTAAATTTTAGGGAATGCCTTCAAAAGTCCTTGATATTGATGTTTATGAAGCTGTGGGAACTTCACACTGTGTAATGCAATCATTTGCTCATTTGTGTTTGTCATTTTACTGCCCAACAGACTGCAGAGCCAACTGATATTTGAACACTGGTGCTCAGAGGACTTCCTGTTATTCTTCGTGACAACCCCACAGACTTCTACAAACCAGCCTTTGTAAGTAATTTTATTTTCTCAAAAATTACCTAAAGGAACATTGACAGCTCAATTTTGAATTTTCTCTTATACGTGGTTCTCATGGGTCTTTGAAATTCTTGAAGGTTTGCGAGTTTCTGGAAAAATCAGTTCAAGGAAAGTTTATGAAAATACACAGACAAATGGATCATTGGACGTACTTGAATTTATTTTTGTGCAATAATTAATATTTACTTTGCAATAATGTTTTGCAGGGGTGTTGTATGAGCTATTTATCCCAAGTCAGTGTATTACTTGCAGTAAGTGGCAGTCGACGCGACCAAAGTTTGGAGAAGTAGTAGGGGTACCAGTGTAGGAAACTAAGCAACGCACTGCTGTGGACAATGTCTGCAGAAACGTTGTTTTAGCCACTTAAAAAAATTCAATACCAGTGAAGTGTACATTATACTATTATTATATTATATATATTATATATTAATATAGAATATTTTCACTGTTTTACCTTACTGTCAGTCAGACTTCTTACATAAAATAACTGTGGTATACGTTATATAAATATTGCTCCTGCCCAACCAAACTCCATAGGCATAGTTAGTCATTTGACTTTGCTGAATACAGGAGCTGCTCTTCTACTGCTGCCTCGATCTGTTTGATTGGGTTATTTTAATTGAATTCACTGAAATCACACAATAGCACAAACTAACAGTGACATGGTAGACCAGTAACTCTTGTGTTCTGTGAGGTAAATTTATTAATCTTGTCTATGACATTTGGTTGGTGTGAAGAGAGCTCTGTAACTTACATTTCAAGTCAGAAAAGTCATGTCAGACAGCAATGTAAGGTGCTGAAAATATACTAAATATGCGTCCACTGAAACAAATAGATTTTTCGAGGTGTCTAAAAGTACAAACTGCTGCTGACCATGTCCACAAAAGTACACTGCTTATCTTCTTACACTGATCATCCTGCTGCTTCTCCAAACTGGGGAAATGCTGCCCACCATCTACTGTAGGTAACATGCTGACCATCTGTAAGCACCTCAGGCAACCCCACTTTAAAAAAATCCAAACTATCCCTTTAATTTTAATTTATGTCTTATGCTATGCTGTGTTGAGTTCATGTCATAAACTCTTATGCTTATGTTTTATGCTATGCTGTTTCATGAGGGAGTGGTGGAGCAGAGGTTAGAGAATATGGGCCAGTGATCAGAAAGTCACCGGTTCAACTCCCCGGACTAACAATGTCAAAATGTGGGTGGAAAAGGTGAAACATCCACACCTGCCTCAACCTTCATTTGCCCCACTCTGGGCCCTTGAGCAAGGCCCTTAACCCTACTATTTGCTCCCTAAACAGGTCTCTTGAAATTAGTTCTTGTGACTCAATGAGACTATCTGTAGAAATAAAGGGTAAATAAAAATGTTGGAATTTGAGCCGAGACAGATGTGGGAACCCTGATGACAGTTCCTGTATTTGGAAAAAAAAACCTGTGAGCATAGTTTTAAACAATTGAAAGAATACGGTATCGTTCCAGTTACCACTAGCACATGATCATGTGTCCTTTTGTGGAGCTCAAACTAATACACAATTTACACAAGGAAACTATAGGCTGCATGTTGTGATAAAAGAGAAGATATGACAAATATTGTAATTGGTTTATGGAAATCATTATTTTGATCAATTATTGATGGTTGTTTAATGATAATTGTCTCTGTTGTGATCATGTCATTTATTAAGGACTCTGATGATGATGACTCGTTCCGCAACATTGATATTGGGATGCTCCTCGTTGAACCTGAAGGTACTGTGCCCTCATCCTCCTTGCATCTCAGTCCAGCCTCTCAGAAAATCATCATGGAGGGAGAAGTGGTGATGGCCAACATTCAAGACCTGCCAAAAGCTATGTGCATTCTCTTTGGACTTGCATATGCTATGCATTTCAACTACCCCAGTTCTATGAAGTCCACATTCCAGTTCATCCAACAGATATTTTTTGAGCTGGGCCAAAGTGAACTAAAACCAAAGTTACAAACATTGAAAAACCAGCTTGTGATGTAAAGAAATGTCTATTGTATTGTGTCATTGAACAGTTGGGATTGAATATAGTCTCAGTAGCCACGCTCTTACCTACATAATCTAATGCAGTTCAATGCAACAGCTCTACAACAACGGTTAGCTGATAATGTTCAGTTTACAATGTTATAAGATACATGAATGTCCAACCACTTATGTTCTTCAGTACAGGATTGAGAAGTGTATGCTCAGGATTGTATAGATAAATCTGTTTATATAATACAGTTTGAGGAAAATTCAGCACATTTCATGAAAATGTCCAGTCAGTGTTGATGGTAAAAATAGTCAGTTGAAGCAGTAAGTTGAAACGTGTGTGCTCGATTGACCAAAAAAGATTTCCTGCTCACAGAGCTATGCAGTAGTATCTACCACACTCCTCGTCTGCACAGAGGAGAATGAGAGAATTTTAAGGTGAAATAACATGTAGTTCTTCCTTAACGGCAACATCACAAAATATTTTGCTTCATAAGTTTTCAGGAATTTATTGCTTCAGTTGACTGAATTTACCAACAACACGGACTGTACATTCACATAAAACATGCTAAATCTTACCTTTATCACATTTTATCTGCTCCTTTTCAAGTTGAAGATTTAGAAGACTGTCTAATTTTACTGTGTCCAGTTTTTCACAAGGATACACAAGTTATTGAATGCTGCTGTTTTTGTATTCCTTATTTAAACAATTTATAATTATGTCAAGCACTTTTATTTCCTACTTTTACTTGACTTTTGGATGACAAGCTGTTATTTTAATAGCAATTATTGTTTTAATACTTTTTTTTACTTGAGCCAAGCTTGATGACAAATTGCACTTAAAATGTTCTTTTGCAGCAATTTTCTGTGAAAATTAAATATATTGGAACATTATAATGTTTTGTTTGATTTCTCCCCTTTTGTAAAATTTAGTGTTGCATTGAATACAATTTGAAGATCAAAAGAGTACTTAATTACAGTAGAGGAAATGTTATTACTTATTTTAAGAAAACATAAGTAGCTTTAAATAATGTTATATTGTTTATTTGCTTTATATGATTATGTAAATATAACTTAAAATGGTAATTGTATACAACTATCACTCTTAACCCGAACTAGTTGACTTTACTAGAAAATCGCGTGGAAACCCGTTGCCTTAAACCATTCTAGTTTTTACACAAAGAAGAAACTAAACATGTTTAGTTGTGTTAACTTGATAACCTCAGTACAATGTAGTAAATACATTTAGTAGTCACTACTAAAATTGATTAGTAGTAACTACTAAATGTATTTACTACATTGTACTGATGTTATCAAGTTAACA